TGTCTACTTTCACTCATCTTTCCTTTGTGTAACAGCAGGTGGGTTTGAACTGCTGACCTTGGAGTTTGCAGCCCAATGCATAACCCACAGGGCTCTCTCGCTCTCGCTCTCACTTTCCCAGCAGGCAGGATCAAACTGTCAAGCAGGAGGTGACTTCCCAACAGGAAACCAACTCTGCGACCAGCAGTCTTTACTGGAGGCCCAGACCTGGTCTCTGAGCCTCATGCGCAGGTTCAACAGGTGTGGGGGTGTGGGGCTGCTACCTGGATTGGCCATGCAGGGCAAAGATGGGACTGTCTGCTCCCGTTATAGACTCACAGCCTCAAAAGACTGAGAGAAGGTTGCTGTGAGTCGGAATCCGCTTGCTGACAGTGGCTTCCATATACCATGGACGACCAAACCCTCTGCTATCCGGTCTGTTCTGACACATAGAACTGTCCTGTGGGGTTTCTGATGCTGCACATCATTACAGGAACCGACAGCCCCACCCTTCTTGCTCAGAGCAGTGTGTGGGCGCGAACTGCCGACCTTGTGGTCCCCTGCCCAATTCACGAGCCCCAGGACCCCTTCATTAACACCACAAGTACAAACATTACCTCGGTGTGCACAGAATCGTGCACGTAAGTGTTCTTGTGACCTAAGTGTTCCCGGAGGTGGACTCTCCGCACCCCACTGCTGGAGGCGAGAGGCGGCCCACCTGCCCTCCCTGCTCCTGGGCCCTCCCGGGGTTGCTGTGAGGTGCAGTCAGTGAGCTCCAACTCCGAGCGACCCGTGCGCAACAGAAGACACAGCACCCGGCCCTGCGCCGGCCTCCCCGTTGTTCCCAGGCCTGAGCCCTGGTGGCAGCCACAGGGTCCACCCATCTCCGCGAGGCCTTCCTCCTTCTCGCTGCCCCTCCACTTCACCAAGCAGGATGTCCTCCTCCAGGGACGGCTCTCTCCGGACAGCACGCCCAAAGTCCTTGAGACGAAGTGCCGCCATCCTGGTCACTGAGGAGCGCTCTGCTTGTGCTTCTTCCGAGACAGGTCTGTGGTTCCTCTGCTGCCGGTCCACCTTCTTCGGCAACACCGTCATCCAGACATACCGGTTCTTCTTCGGTCGGTCTTCCTCCTAAAGGCCAGTCCCTTTAGGTAACGTGCATTGCTGTCAGCACGCTCTTCGTCCGTGGCTCTGGATTTCAGGGACGTGGCACACACGGTGGCATCCCTGGGCAGTGCACACGGAGCCCCAGTGCTGCGGTGCTTCCGCACTGGGCTGTGGTCCTCCGCGTGGTCGGCCGATCGAAGCCACCAACAGCCCCAAGGGAGAAAGACTGGGGTTTCTACCCCTGTAAAGAGTTAGTTTCTGAACCCCACAGGGGGTGGGGGATGGTCACTGAGAATCAGCATGGACTTAATGGCAGGGAGTGTGGCTTGGTCGGGGCGTGCAAACGTTCGTTAGCATGCTCAGCTGCTAATGGAGAGATTGGCAGTTTGGGTCTGCCCAGAGGCCCCTCAGAAGAAAGGCCTGGTGATCTGCTTCTGTAAAAGGCAGCGCTGGCAAGCCCGGGCTCACAGCCCCCCTCTGGCCCCCACATGGGCTTCCTTCCTCCTACAGGTCACTCCCTTTAGGGAAGGTGTATTGGGTGCCAACGGGTCTTGCTAGTCGGTTTCAACAAGTATGCTGCTGTTGTTAGGCGTCCTCACGTCAGCCCCAGCTCACAGTGACCCCTTGCCAACAGGAGACGCGGCCCCACCCCGGCCACCCTCACCACCACGGCTGCAGCCACTGAATCAGCCGTCTCATCGAGGGCCTTCCTCCTTGTTGACGCTCCTCTGCTTCGCTGAGCATGGTGTCCTTCTCCGGGACTGGCCCCCTCCTCGGGGGTCCTGGTGGCACAGTGGGTTAGGCATTGGGCTGCTAACTGCGAGGTCAGCAGTTCAAGCCCACCAGCCGCTCCGCAGGATAAAGAGGAGACTTTCTACTCCTGGAAAGAGTGACCGTCTCAGAAATCCACAGGGGAGCTCAGCCTGTCCTCCCGGGTCCCCGCAAGTCAGGCTGAGCTCGATGGCGGTGAGCAGTCCTCGTTCTCAGGACGGCTCACACATTTGCATCATGCCATCCTATTTGCACATACTTTGGAACCAAACCGTTCCCATGACTCCCTTTATTGTGGCATCTGCTTGGTCACGGTGGGCTGGAATCGAACCTGCGACATCTCCGAGGGAGGCCTGTATTAAAGAGCAGTGAACAATCCTTCAGAGCCTGTGAGTTCAAATCAAAAACCCCAATGACAGACCCACTGCAGTGGGCACAGCCCCCAAGTCAGGGTCGAACTGCCCCACAGGGCTTCTGAGGCTGCACGGCTGTACAGGAGCAGGAAGCGTCATCTTTTTCTCTAAGCGCGGCTGGTGAACTTGATCTGGGGACCTTGTGGTTAGCAGCCCAGCGCACTGAGCCAGCCCCCAGGGTCCCGCTAGGCTAGGTGACCAGACAGCCATGATCTCAGCAGCCAGGTTCACACAGAGAGAGCGAATGTAGTTCCGATCATGGCTTATATACCTTTTTGGGGATGTACAAGCCCCCCTGATTACATCATAACAGGAAGGGGTTGCACCGTAGGCATACATGCAATAGGAGGGGGACGAGCTGAGATTGTGCACACAATTGGGAGGGGCGGCACTAAGGGGACACATGGGACAAGACGGGCAGTCTCTAGATTCAAGATGGCAGCCTAACCTTGGTCCTCCTGGAGTTGGCTTGACCCTGTCTCTGGGCTCTCCTTCAGGCAGCAATCCAGGTCCTTATCAGCAGGGGGTGGGACAGACAATAGGGTCTGACTGCTCTAGATGGCTGATGCCCTCTGGGAGAGAAGCTCTAAGCAATCGACCTCCAAGTGCATAGTCATGATCATGTGTTGCATGCAGGTCTTAGGTTTGGCATATGATGTGGAGGGGACAACCTGGGGGAAACCTTCTGTATCCCACAGGTAGCCTCAAGGCGGTCCCTCTCAGGGTGTCAGCCTCAGTGGGCATGCAGGGCGGAGTGGGGTGGGGGTTGTAAAGGTGAAACTGAGGCACAGGGAGGCAGACAGACATAACTGACAGGACAAGGGGGAGCAGAAACAGAAATAGCCTTATTAGAGGGGAAGCTCCTGGATGGACAAGGCCCTCTGACCTAGGCCAACAGGTCAGGGAAGTGGTGCTCAGCAGCTGGGGGTGTGGGTTTCTATAGGGGTGGTGAGGAATGTATGGCAATTATGGCAATTAGCATATGGGGTCTGGACACTGGGAGAATTGCTTGTCGGCTCCTTGCAGCTTTCTTTGAACCCGGAGCATCTGGTTTCACTGGTTATTTTATCTGGGGCTATCTTATCTGGCGCTGTCTGCTGCTGACCTTTGGGATGTGCAGGGAAGCCCGGACCTGCTTCAGCTTAGTCCAAAGGGACCGGCCCAAACAGGTGGGGCTCCCTGCAAATCTCTGCTGGGGAGGAACCAGTCTGCCCAGCTTCTGGCAAGCTGCCTCTGGCACTGGTCTGTGACTGGACAACCCCCCAAACCCCACCCCTCCAACCTTTGCTGGATGGAGAAGGCATGAAAGTCCTCCTGAGCCTGTGGGCCGACTGTGTCAGCAGGCCACCATGAAGCGGAGGAAAATCAGGTCTTGAGGTGTGATTTTAATTACTGGGGGAGTTGGGACTTGACTGTCTTCATTGACTGCCTCTCTCCCCATGCCCACCTGAGGCCTGCCCTGTAACAGCTCCCTGTCAGTCTGGCCCTCTCCCAAGAACAGGGCAGCAGGGCAGCCCTGCACACCTGCCTGGGGTCTGGCCCGGACAGTTACTTATGCTCACCCGGGACCCCTTTGTCTCCTCTCTGCTACCTCCTCCAGCCTCAGTTTTACGACCCGGTGGAGCCGGGGGACTTTGAAGGACTTCTGATGTCCCACCTGAGCAGCCTGGATGTGGAGCTGGCCCAGGAGCTGGGGGACTTCAAGGAAGATGACCTGGATGTGGCATTCACGCCCAAGGACTGCAGGACCCTGCAGCCCTCACTGCCCGAGGAAGGGTGAGTCCTTGCTTAGCTGTGGGCCAGCCGGCGCCGAGGTGACGGTTCCCAGGAAGGGTGGGGTGTGGGTGAGTGGCGTCAAGCTGTCACCTGACTCATGGTGACCCCGTGGGGAGTGGGGCGAAATGCTGCCGGTGCTTCAGGCCTCCTCGTGATTGGTGGGGGGAACTGGCCATCCTACGCCATAGAATGGAGTCTTCGCTGGCTGATTTTCTGAGGAAGATCACCAGCCCTTTCTTCCTAGTCTGTCTCAGAGAACTCCATTGAAACCCGTTCAGCGTCCCAGCCACAAGCAAGCCTCCCCTGATAGGTGAGGGCTGGTGCATGTGAGGTGCCCTGGTGGGATTCGAGCCGGGTCTCTCGTGCGGGAAGGGGGGAACTCCACCCGCTCTGCTTTTCTTTCTTGTCTGAAAGGAGCCTGTGTGTCACAAGAGGCATCCAAGTCCGTGGGGCTCCTCCTCCACCCCCTTCTCAGGGAGGAACCCGCAGGGTTGCTAAGGCTGCGACCCTGCTCTCTCCCTCCCCCTCATTTAACGTTATTTCATCTGTCTTTAGTTGTGTATAGACTTTAGAACCCCCTGCCCCTTTCGTTTGTGGAGCACAGCACACACAAGGGGAACATGCCGTGTGCTCTGGCCCGGCCCGGCGTGTGAAATCAGCGGCACGCGCCCCCTAGACCCCCTGGAAATGGGGTTCCTTGTTTGTTTTCTCCTGCTCCCACTTTTCCTCCCTCCTTACTGCCCTGCCCCTTCCTTCTCCCCCTGCCCGGCCCTGACCTCCTCGTAGCCTTGAAACCCTTACCCTTCCATTGGAAACCATTTTGATTTTGATTTTCCCCTACGTTAGTCCGGGTGGACTAGAGATATAAATTCAGACACTCATATGTGTGTAAGAAAGATCTTTCTTTCAAAGGGTAATTGTACATTAAGAAAACATCCCCGCCCAGTCCAGATCAAGTCTGTAAGTCTGACAGTAGCCTATATGTGCAATTCTGGTCCATAAAGTCCTCTTCAGACTCACGCAACACATGCAATGACACCGAATGCAGGAAGGTCACAGGCCAGTGGGTGGAAAGTCTTGTGGATTCAGTGGCAGTGGAAGCATCTCAGCGCTGGCGTGGGTCTCTACGTGGTTCCTCCAGCTCCAGGGCTCTGGCTCCATCAGCATAGCTCCATGTGGCTTGTCAGCAGAAAGACGAAGCAGTGTGGGTCTGGCCTCCAGTGAGCTATTTATCTCTGTGCGCCTCCAAATGAGGTCATCAAGCTACAACCTAATTGACAGGCTAAACGCCACCCCCCTACTCTTCATTGTCTCAAGTTGACACCAGATTATATAACTACCACACCCCTTATAATAATGGGTCATGCAATATTGATCTTTATGAGATGGACAAACATTTGGGAGCACGATGTTCTCCTATGTTGTCCATGCCATGAGGCATTTGACAGACTTGTCATTGGTTTTCCGGGAAGTGTAATACCCCATTGTGTGTGTGTGTGTGTGCGCGCGTGCTAGCACCCGAGTCCGTTGATCCATCATGCCTCGGTCACTAGGGTTTTGACCGTTTCCATCTTTTTGCCATTCTAGAGGTTTCTGGGAGGCCTGTGGGAGTGCCCTTTCCTCTTCCTGTTTTGTTTTTAGGGTAGGTGCCCAGCGAGAGGTTGCAGGGTCAGGAAGGATGTGTGTTTGCATTTGCACAGTGGGTGGGCAGGTCTGCAACCCCACCCCGGCTCCGCTTTGAGAAGCAAATTGCCTATTGCCCTCAAGTTGACCCCAAGTCACAGCCACCGTCGTCGTGTGCCCAGTTGAACCCCAGAGGATTTGCCATTCGCCAGGCCTTTCTAAGGCCATTCCAGGTGGATTAGAACCAGGCACCTTTGGATGCATAGCTGTGTTCCACCTGGGGCCTCCTAACAAAATCCCTCAGCTCTACGGAGGCCTGCAAGGAGCCCTGATGGCACAGTGGCTACGCATTGGGCTGCCATCGCCAGTTCAGCAGTTCAAAACCACCACCTGCTCTGTGGGAGAAAGACAAGGCTTTCTACTCCTGTAAACAGTTACCGCCTCAGAAACCCACAGCGACAGCTCGACCCTGGGCCTTGGGCCGCCCTGAGTTGGAATCGACTCGGTGACAGTGAGTTAACGAGGTCTTCAGATCTGGTCCAATCATGTACCTGTAGGGAGGTGTTCACACGGCGTCGTCAACCAGAGACTGAGGAGCCCTCTTCTCCAGACAATCCCAAACTCACTCCAGTGAGTCGATGTGGACTCACAGCGACCCTGAGGGACCGAGTAGAACTGCCCCCTGTGGGTTTCCGAGACTGTAACTGTCTATGGGGGTAGAAAGCCCGTCTCGTCCCCGCTTCTCATTTCCCACAGGAGGGAGCTTTTCATGCTGAAGGGCTGACCTTGCACCCCTCTCTAATATTCTGGGACCAGGTCCCCAGCAGCAGCAGCCACGCTGGGACCCGGGGCCAGTGCTGCTCTGTGTCAGAGGGTCCCGCCTGCAGGTGCAACTTCGGTGTAGCTAACCTCACACCGCTTTTGCCCATGGTACAGTCCTTCCAGTTTTATTTCTCTGTGTCCAAAATGTACCACCTATTGTCATCTTGGGGACCCTTGTTGACAATACTTGCCATGCATTTAGATGGAAGAGGATATATATATATATGAAATATGCGAGGGAAAAAACAACAACAAAAATCACCACCATTGAATCAATGCCGACTCATAGCGACCCTACAGGACAAGGTAGAACTGCCTTGTGGGTTTCTGAGAGGAGGTAATTTCTTTTTATTAGCACCACTTTTTAAATATGATATTATCCTGCCAGCAGGAAGGAGGTAATTTCTTTTTATTAGCACCACTTTTTAAATATGATATTATCCTGCCAGCACAATTGATGGCTAGCACATTCTCTTCCTGGAGATGCTAAAACAGCTTCCGTAGCTTCAGTCGTGGCTGTGAGTCCGGGTTGACAAGAGAAACAAACTCTTTGGCACTCATATGTGTAAGAGAACTTTATATCAAGGAGTAAGGATGCATCTATAAAACATCCCAGCCAGTCCTGATCAGATCCATGAGGCTGATAGTAGCCCACGGATTCCTCTTCAGATTCACATAGCACATGGCAGGATGCAAAGTGGAGGAGGATCACAGGCCGGTGGGCGCAACATCTTGTGGACACAGTGGCAGTGGAAGCGTCTCATCACTGGCGTGCATCTCCGCGTGGCTCCCCCAGCTCTCAGTGGCTCCTCCACAGGAAGGTGAAGCAGAGAGTGTGGCCCAGGGAGGGAGAGAGGAAGTTCCCAGAATCCTCAGGAGAAGGTCACGCCCACCAGGAGCTATCATCAGGCTGTGACCTGATTGACAGGCTAGACTCCACCCCTCCATGCTCTACATCACGTTGCCATGAAATTACGTAACTACCACAGTTACCAAAGGTCTGCCGTATAATTGCAGCTCAGGAGGGCGCCCTTTCCGATGGGAGTAACCGTGGATGACCCGTCTGAGTGCCCCCAGCCTGAGCTGCCCCGGCACAAGCATGGACCTCGTCCACTGCCTGAGTCCAAATCCCCATGCTCCCTCTCCCATCACCCTGTACTTCCGCAGCGGAGCGTAGAGCCTGCCCCCAGGACCTGATGAAGGATCAGTGGGACCCGTACATATAAAGCGATCCAGGCAGCGCCTAAACCCACTACCACTGAGACCATTTCTACACATAGGGACCTCTGTCGAGGGCTTCCCAGCCTTACTGAATCTTTACAGGGGCAGAGAGCCGCCTTGTTCTCCCAGAGAGCGGCTGGTGAGTTGGAACCACAGACATTGTCCGTAACAGCCTAACCCACAGCACCACCAGATCAGTGCCGCCACAGCCACACTCCTGGCCACCGACTCATTTCCGTAGCAGCCCTCCAGGACAGGGTGGGCCAGCCCCCTGCGGGTTTCTGAGACGGTCACTCTTTACAGGAGGAGAAAACCTCCTCTTTCTCCCAAGGAGCAGCTGGTGGTTTCGAACTGCTGACCTTGTGAGTGGCCCAATGCATGACCACTGCACCACCAGGGCTCCTCGTCAAGGACACATGGGTATGGACTGCCTTTTCCTCATTTCCGCCCGGTCACCGCCCGTGGAGCCCGGCTGTCAGAGTGGAGCTGTGCCACAGAGGGCTTCCTGGCCGGTGTTTCCGAAGCAGATGGCCAGGACTTCCTTCCGAGGTGCCTCTGGGCGGACTTGGCATCTCCTAAGGGCCGAGTTAACCGTTGAATCACGTAGGGGTTCTGGGCCACCACAGGAGATTTCGGCTGCACCAGGCCGACTTCAAAGCCCTTCATGAATCGGCACTGCAGCTCTAAGAAGCGGGCAGCCGGCTGGTAACATCAGCGCTTCAAGGTGGGGGAACAGAGGCAGAGAGGTGGCGGGAGCTGGGGAGAGACGTGGCTAGGCTTTGGGACGTCAGGGCCCAGATCTGCATGGCTGACCTCGGCGGTGCTTCCCCCAAGCTGTCGGCAATCCCACCTCCGGGCACGGCTTGTCGCCCCACTTCACAGATAAGAAAGTAAAGGCCCGTGGCATTTGTTGGCTGCTGAGAGGAGCCATGAAGGCGATCAAGACTCCACGTCCCGTGGAAGGAAACGCCCCCGGTGATGCCCAGCCACCAGTCTTTGTGAGAGCCCATGGTTGCAGCCACAGTGGCGCGCCCTCTCACCGAGGGTCTTCCTGTCTTTCGCTGACCCTCCGCTTTACCAAGCGTAGGCCCTCCTCCAGTGTCCATGCCAAGCTGGCTTGGAAGAAGTAGAGTGTGCATGCTCCTTAGGAGCCAGGAGGGCGAGACTCCGTCCCAGTCTCTGGACTCGTTGTCAGGATGGGTCAGTCCCTGGAGAGGCCCCTGTGATGGGAAGAGTGGCAGGGAAGGGCAGAGGGGAAGATCCTCACAGGAAGGGCCGGCACTGGGCTCAGAGGATTGCATGGACCGCGCAGGACCGGGCAGTGTTCTGTGTGTTGCGCACAGAGCGGCAGTGCGTCAGAACTGACTCGAGATGCCGCCCCTTAGCAGCGTTGCAACACAACACCAAAGCTCCGAAGGATGTGTGTTTGCATTTGCACAGTGGGTGGGCAGGTCTGCAACCCCACCCCGGCTCCGCTTTGAGAAGCAAATTGCCTATTGCCCTCAAGTTGACCCCAAGTCACAGCCACCGTCGTCGTGTGCCCAGTTGAACCCCAGAGGATTTGCCATTCGCCAGGCCTTTCTAAGGCCATTCCAGGTGGATTAGAACCAGGCACCTTTGGATGCATAGCTGTGTTCCACCTGGGGCCTCCTAACAAAATCCCTCAGCTCTACGGAGGCCTGCAAGGAGCCCTGATGGCACAGTGGCTACGCATTGGGCTGCCATCGCCAGTTCAGCAGTTCAAAACCACCACCTGCTCTGTGGGAGAAAGACAAGGCTTTCTACTCCTGTAAACAGTTACCGCCTCAGAAACCCACAGCGACAGCTCGACCCTGGGCCTTGGGCCGCCCTGAGTTGGAATCGACTCGGTGACAGTGAGTTAACGAGGTCTTCAGATCTGGTCCAATCATGTACCTGTAGGGAGGTGTTCACA